GTTTTAAAATAACATTTTAAAAAATGTCACATGAATAATATCATACACTTAAATTGCGAAGGAATGAAAATAATCCTCTATTATTAATTCGAAAATGTTGCATGTCAATGATGTTACGTTTTAACGATTTATTGCACGAACAAAAAAGGCAAGTCTTTTCTCTTTCATATATGATCTATGAATATCCTCTTATATATTTGCCGTATGTTTATCACGAAAAAGTAACGGCTTATATCACCATGAGGTGTGGGTGTGGGTGAGTGTGCGCGTGCGTGTGTGGTGTTGGTGTTGGTGTAATTCTTCAATATCTCACACCCACACCCACATCCCACACCCACACCCACACCCACAGCCACGCCCACAGAGCCACAGCCACACCCACTCCCACAGCCACAGCCACAGCCACACCCACAGAGCCACAGCCACACCCACTCCCACAGCCACAGCCACAGCCACAGCCACAGCCACAGCCACAGCCACACCCATACCCACACCCCACACCCACACCCACACTCACCTATGAACCTTGCTCTCATTCACCATAAATGCACATATAACAATAGGACGTACTTTGCATCAAACTCACGGACCGATTGTCATTTCGTTCAAACTAAATAAAAACGAATTCTATACAATCATAAAAAAAAGACTTACCTATGGATTCTGAATTGGGTGGTCCCCAAAAAGAAAAAGAAATACAATATAGAATAATTTGAAACAAACTCACCGATCGATTGTCATTTCATTTATCCAAACTAAAAAAAATAAGAAACAGAATATACAACAATTTGAAACATACTCACCGATGGATTGTCATTTGGTTCAACCAAACTAAAAAAAATAAGAAATAGAATATTCAATAATTTGAAACGAACTGGCCAATGGATTGTCATTTTGTTCCTCCAAACTAAAAAAAGAATAAGACATGGAATATTCAATAATTTGAAACAAAACCACCGATCGTTTGTCATTCGGTTGATCGAAACTAGAAAAAAAAACCAGAAACCGAATATTCAATAATTTGAAACATACTCACCGATGGATTTTCATTTAGTTCATCCAAACTGAAAAAAAATGAGAAACAGCAGATACAATAATTTAGACCAAACTCACCAATCGATTGTCATTTGGTTCAAATAAACCAAAAAAAAATAAGAAATAGAATATTCAATAATTTGAAACCAACTCACCGATCGATTATTATTTAGTTCATCGAAACTGAAAAAAAATGAGAAACAGCAGGTGCAATAATTTGAAACAAACTCACCAATGGATTTTCACTTTGTTCATCCAAACTAAAAGTAGAGTAAGAAATAGAATATTCAATAATTTGAAACACACTCACGGGTCGATTTTCATTTGGTTCGTCCAAACTAAAAAATATAATAAATAGAATATAGAGTTATATGAAACGAACTCATAGATGCATGCATTGCCATTTCGCTGATCGTAAATAGAAAAAGAAATGCAAATATACAATAGTCTGAGAAGAACTTACAATGAATTTACATGCGATGCATTTCAAATAACAGAACAAATATGCTGTGATACGAATCGCACGCATAAATGAGTTTTATTTGATGGGTGATAAAGAAAAAATAAGAATATATGATAGTGTGAATAGAATGTGCGGATGGATTCTGATTTGATACATCGAAAATTAAAAAAAAATAGAATTATATAATAGTTTGAAGAGAACTTGCAAGTAAATCCCATTAGGTTGATTGTAAGTAGTAAAGGGAGCATAAGTGTTACGGTCAATATCAGTTATTGCTTGTTAACGTTTTAACAGAAACTGAAGACGTACTTGGTATTGTGCATGTTTTCTGAGATTGTGCTTTTTTGAGTTTTACTTATGAACCGAAGTGCTTTGTTGACCTTTTTATTAGGATGTGTATTGCTGTTTGATTATGAAGAAAATGTTTGAGACTAGTTATGATATTGGTGGAAAATTCGGGTGCACTTGCAATAAGAATTTTGAAATGTTGATGATGGGGCAGCATGGTTTATTAGAAGAATCAAAAGGTATAAAAAAATATGGAGGAATAGGAAACGAATTAAATCTCAGGAATGAATATCTTTCATATGTTGATGAAACAAACTCTCTCGATAAATGAATAGTTGGCTCTATATGAATATACGGGCGTAATTTTATCTTAAATAACGATACTTTTTATTGATTACTCCGTTTTTGTCATTTTTAGATGCTGTTCATCTTGTGAGACATTTTGTAGCAGAACAGTATCTAAAAATGACAAAAACAGAGCAGTCAATAAAGTGTATAACCATTGAAAATAAAATTACGCCCGGATACTCATATAGAGCCGAATAGTTCAAAAAAGCCGTACAAGCGGAAACAAATGAATGCCTTTTTTTTAGAAGAAAAATAATGAAAACGGCGAATCCTTCGCAATAAAAGAAGAGATAGAGAGAGCTGATAAAACAGTTTCTGTTGTTGGTGTGAATGTATCTTTATTGTCGACGTCGTTTTGGACGGAGATTTCGGATTGTTTTTTGTTTTGATGAATCAATCTCCTGAGATAAACTCTCAGAATCAAGTTTTTCATCTGATTTACGTTTACGAGTTGGTCGTTGTTCAAATGGTGTTGGTTCAAATGGTGTTGATTCAGTTGGTCTTGATTCAATTGGTGTTGGTTCAATTGGTATTGGTTCAATTGGTGTTGATTCAATTGGTGTTAGTTTAATTGGTGTTGGTTTAATTGGTGTTCTCATTTGAACTGCATTAGACAAGTTTTGTTCTTTCTCGTTTTAATGTGTGTTAGATAAATAAACATCATTAATTTTTGTTTGTTCCGACGATGTAATAGATGATGAAGAAGGGTTATCATGAAGTTGAATGTTACATACTTTACAAAACTTGCGAATAATATTTGACTGTTGTTGCTTATCATTCATAAAATAGACATATAAAAATCTCACTGCAGTACGATATGTTTGAAATGTGAGATTCATCAAACAATATAAGCCAACGATTAGTGCAATAGACTGTTCAATAGAATTTGATGAACAAATAAATGTCCAATCAAGATAAATTTTTATATCATTGTCTTCAATTACCATTGTTGGTTGAGGAGTAACTGGTTTCTGAAAAGAATCAGAAGATCAATCGAGGTAAATTAAAAAGCATAAGCTTCAGAGAAAAGAAATGTAATAAGAACTTCTCTTTTTTGTGCAACAAGAGATAATGCCGAAGTCAAACAGAGGGAATTTTTCATGTGTCAAAGTTTCTGATAGAAAATCAATTTTATAGAAGCATCTATATTGTGCATGATACTTTAAAATATCCGACTAATCGAATAACATTTATAGCCCGCTAATATCCGCATGTTTAAGAAAGTTTAAAGCAAAGAACCATAGCATTGATAGAAAGTCTGTAGTAGTCAGAAATAAAGAAAAACTAAAGTAATAAGCGATGTCTCTCAAACAAGCTAAGAAGACTACTTAGCTGACTAGAACACAAGACCAAATATAACTAACTTCTTCTATTCTTTTCATGTTTGCGATATTTTAGAAAATTTAAAAAATATACAGATAACTTACATCAGGATAAAAGCAAATGTAATGTTTCCATGAGTCGTTTAGTATAATACATAATACTTTAAAACAACGAACAATTGGATCATCTAATAAACAAGATTACCGTTTGGTATACTATAAACTTTTTTCCTACCTGTTAAAAATTTATCATTAGAACAAATTTTATTAGAAAGCAAATTCATTTTTTCTTTAACAGAATGATCTAAATCTACACCTGTTAATAATTTAACATGTGTCAATATCTAAAATGAAAATGTGATACTGAAAGTCTTGCAATTTTTTTTTACCATAGATGGATTTGAATAGACAGGAAAACGTTCCATAATATCTGCAGTTGTGTTTTCCTTGATAAAATTTTGTCGATAATCAAAAGTTTCAAGCCACAACCATTGATAATGTTAATCATCAATTGATTTATTTTGAAAATTTGTTTTAAGTGTTTCAGCTTTTTCTTCCATTTGTTGTATTTCATTAGGTGTATCTTGAATGATTGATGCCTAGGAAAATAAAAATATATATATCCTTTTGGCTGTTTTTAGTGTAACTTACTTATTTTGATGTATTTCTTTCTGATAATTGTGTTGTTGGATATTTTTTTATTTTTCTTCGAGCTTTCTCTCTTGAGTATCTTAGCTTCATTTAAGTTACTTTATCTTCATCGAAATGTTGTCGTTCTCTTTTATATTTGGAAATAAGAGACTCTCCTCACGAATTCTGTAACATAAATTATTATACTCTTGACATGATTATTTTTCAGAATTACTTACAACTGTTTTTGTATCTCGTTCAATTTTCAAATGATTCAATATACCATTTACAATAACTGCATATTGTTCTCTTGTTGGATATCTATGTAGAAAAAATATATATAGAAGAATTTATTTATTATAATACTCATTATAAAAGTTTAGAACTCAATTATGAACATAAGTTTATCACATGTTATATCTTTTTTACATGTGCTCATAGTCTATTGATTTTTTCCTATTCTCCCATAGCTACTTTATTTGTACATCAACACAAAGTTCTCGACTAAATAAAAGAAAGAACGTAAATAAATTATCGAAACATTATACTTACAGCAAATCATAGTTTGTTTTCAAATCATGAAAAACAGTATCTATTATTATTGACCGAAAATTGCAAAGTTTTTCGAACGTTTCCATTTGTTTAAGATTAATTGCATCATTTACTTGACTCGGCAAAGTTGGCAAGATATATGGATCTGAAAGAGTTTTTTCTGTTAAATTTTTGGATGTAATAACATTTGTGGTACATGATAAATCTATTGTTGGTTGTATTAATTCATTTTCATCTTCATGAACCTCTTGTTCATTTTTGTCGACAATTAACAATGTTGTATCATTTGGTGTTGATGGTGATATTGGTTTTTCTTGATACATTTTCAACGAAAATAATTTTTCTCTCTCTTTCAAAAATATAACTTGATTTTTGTACGACAATTTGAATGATTTTAGTAGATTCAAGTCGTTCATGTAAAATAATGTTTCACCATCAATTTCTTCTTCTAAAACAAAATAAGATAAAAGTTAAAAGAAGTTTCTGATTTCACAAGTCTCAAATTGTGAAATAGTATACCTTGAACCACAGAATCACATGAAAAGAAAAGAATAAAAATCAGTATGTTTAATATTCTCAAAACGTCAATTTTCCTTTGTTAGTCTTGACTTTAGATTAACAACATGAAGATGATCAACTTTATATAAATCAAGTCCTTTGTGGTAATACTTTAAATCATTTGGTGAAACTATTTCAAGCCGATCATATGAGCTAACTTTGTAACTCCATAGTTTGGTGCTAAATCCATCAGTATTCAGAAGATCCACAATAAACGGCATGTTGTTTGTAAATAACATGATTATGAATCAGTTGCGAACATTGAAACAATGTTTGTGATTGAATAAATTGTTGTCCATATCGATGAGTGAGAAGAACCTTGATTTTTGAATCTATTTCATACATATGAATTATTTTATTACCACTAGCTTCGTCAAATGCTTTCAAGAATTGACAGTTGGACAATAAAAAGCATTGCCGAAGTTGTTGTCTTTGAGCCAATTTTTTCGGGATATTTTTGAAATTATAAGATTGCATAGCAATTTTTTTGAAATACAAATGAGCACCCTCATATCTCATACACCAATACCTTAGTGGTGGACCATTTTCCTCAATTATTTTTGTATACTCAGTGGCATAATGTACCTTCGGTGTTACATTATCTGGCAAAAGCTCTAACATCATACACTGAAAATTTATTGATAATGTTTCAAGATAAGGAAGCCAACTTTTTCGTTGAGGCAAAGCTAATATTATATCCAACATTTCACGCAAAACGAGATAAATGGTATATGATTTTAAATGCTCGACCATATCAGAAAAGATGATTGGGAACAATCGAAACAGACAGAATTTTTGAGCTGCACTTCCAGCAATACGATCATTGTTTAGATGTTTAACTTGTATAGAAGGAGGTTTATTTGATGCATCTAATTCACTATAAGAAAAATGTTCTGTCCTCTCTTGAATAGCAGCAAAAGTAATCACCTTTAAATTTCATGCTTCCTTTAACATCGCCATGATAATGATCGGACATACACCTAAAAAAAATCAATCTACAAGCAAAATTTTATCTTATGAATAGTTACCTTCGAAATAATCGTGCATTACATCCCCCGACAAAGAGCCAGTTGTGTCAAAATTTATTAAGTTATCAAGTGGACTTGGACCAATAACACCATACATTGATTTTATGTGTGGATTATTTTCAAGTAATTGTAAACATTTTGTATGTTGAAGATGTGTTCGTTGAATGAAGTGAATATCGGTTAATGGTATAAGACGATTTTCATAGGTTATTAAACATCTCCTACAAAAATATCCGGAACTGAATGCTTGTTCCATACCAGTGATTTCATGTGCAGCTAAATTATCAGCAGCAATTGTCGTAAATGTAAAATGTAATTGACTGTTAAATGTATTAAATATTAAACCACTAGATTGCAAATCATTTAAATCATTCACAATCGGATTATAAAATTTTCTAAGTTTTTCATCATTATTCAGGTATTTTGTGTAACAAATAGCTGCAAGATTAATACATTGTAACGTAGATCGAAAGATATTCGGTATATCTTCTAACATGAAGTATACAAGTGTCAATTTGTGTTGGTCCTTCTTCGGACCTATCGGATTTGTGACACCAATGCCATTGACATATAATTGAATTAAAAATGATTGATTATTAAATATTTTACCTTTAACACCGTCCCGTCTTGAAAACATTAAATCTGGATCATTATGTGTTATTGAAGTTTGATGTTGAATATTATCAATTAGAAGTGGTATCATTTCATCTTTTTGTAAAATTTTCTCTAAAGTGTTTCGGATAGGTGTATGATATGAATATTCTTTTTTCAAATGATTTGATGATAAATTATTTTCTATAGGTGGTGAATAATTGAAAAATTTTTGGCATGATTGTATAAATTGATACTCATTTCGAGTTGAAACAATGAGTGATTGTTCTATCTGCTTTACGGTTTTGCGCATTCCATAAATTGTGATAGTTGTTACTGTTGATTGTTGTTGAGTCATATCTTCTTGTTTCGCTTGCTCTTCTACAAGCTCCACTACGATATCTAGTAAATTAATTATATGTGTTGTAATAGATTGGATCACTGTTTGAGGCAAAATGTGTTGTTCTCTCATTTCAAGTAAAAATCTGGTGAATTGTTGTTGAACTGTAAGAAGATTTATTTTTTCCTCTTTACGAGAAATATTTGTTGTTAGAGTGTTCCATTGATTATCAAGATCATCATTAAAATATGCATATATAACATTATCATGATTATTATCAGCTGTATCTGGATATATTACTGTTGCATCAGGTTGCTGGATTGCTAATGTATTCATATCATTAATAACGCTATTTTCTTGTTGTTGACATACTGGATGAAGTAAATTTTTATGACGTCGATGAATGTGCATTTTGTATGACGTAACTGTTTTATACATTACACCACAAGAGTTTGATATATCACATGTTAAACGAAAATTAGGTTCATTAGCATGATACAATGTAACATGACGGAAATAATCACAAAATTCATGAAACGATCGATTGGTGATGCAGATTTTGCACAAAAAGTCTCTAGTGGACATCACTGCGTAATTGAGTTACTTAATCTTACAATAAAGAAACAAAATCATTTACCTAAGTATCACCTAATACACCGTATACAAAATCAAAAAAACTTCTAAAACAAAGGTGTAAGTCAGCTTATTCAAAACTAGTTTCCTAAGACATAGTACCTAGTAAAAAACATCTAAACTATGATAGATGGAAGAGAGAAAGGATAATAAGGTGAAAGAATATTTATAAATTAATCTGAAAAAGAGGAGCATTACATATTTTATAGAACTCACTTTGAAATTCTTTAATTATTTCATCACTTGAAATGAAAGTATATAGCCAAGCCGAAACATCATTTATTTTCCACATGAATGGGTCAGTATAATTCATCTATAAAAAAAACATTCAAACAATCTTAAATCTTCCAGCTTTGAGATACATCTGTGTTATTATATACATATAACATCAAAAGGCTTAGAAACTCAGAAAAGTCAATTTTATTGTCGAATAGCATTCAAAACGTTTTTCTTATAGTGTGCTTGAATGATATAAAAGTCGTTTGAACGTCGTATGCACAGACTGAAAGCCGAATAGTTATCATTACTTAATCTCTTGATTCAGTACCATACGAATAAGAAAATTATCTTGGGCTTCTTTTCGAAAACCTAAAGAATAGTCGAGAATTCTAATAAGAAACTGTTATATAAACGAAATGTTATAAAAAACATTAGAGAAAATATAAATAATCGCTTATATTATTTTTTTTTTTGTTTCTGTTGAAAATTGTTATTGAATGAGGCGAAATAAACGATTGTTATTGTCATCTCAAACTTGGACAACTTTCAACCAACCGAAATGTGAAGACGACACAATCAATTCAATATAAAGTAAACAATATTAGAACACAAATGCACTGTTGTGAATCTATACATTAGAGGCTTAAAGTTTCATTTTTATTAGATTATACCAAGTAAGCAGAGAAAACACTGGTAAAAAGAAAGACAGATATCATAGAATGATGATTCATTGTTCGTTTGACAAATATGTAGACAAAATTGTTGCAATCACATGTGGATGACAATGATATCATCACCTTGTTTTCGCTTAAGTCTAATTTTTTCGAATGATTTGAAGTCCGTCAATACTATCTTGTTGTAGATTAGTCAGTTAGAAAAACTTTTCAATGACAAATGTTTCTCGTGCTCTTACTCTCTCTCACTTTTGTGGATTACAATTCCTAAACTTAGTCGGAGTTTTTATTAGAATTTTATCAAAACAGCAAAGAGAAAAGACAAATATTATGGTTAATGTTGGTATTCAATGGTTTGAGTTTTGCCAAGGCTATATTTTTCGTCCTATACCAGCAACCTCACTTGAATTAACAATGTAAAAATGATGTTGGATTATTTTGAGAGAATGAATTGAAATGTATAAAAATATATTGATTTCAAGAAGCAATCATCAATAAGCAGATGTCTTGTGATAAAAACATAGTCGCTTCAAGTGTCCTCATAACCGTTGAAATGAAAAAAAAAGGAGATCGAAATTCGGATGTCAACTATGTTTCCTTCACATAATTTTGGACTCTAACATCACTTAAGGAAAACAGTTTTCGACGGCTTTTGAAACTTCGGAAGTCTTCGAAGGTCTCAAAACAATTCGGAAACCTATTTAGGTTTTCCATTATACTTTTTTGAGATTTGGAAGCTTCGAAAACCGTTTCGGTTTCTGATGGAATACTTCGAAAACCGAAATGGTATTGTCGGATACCTCCTGGAGTAGAAAGTCGATTTTGCTAGTAATATGCGTTTCCTAATATACCTTTACGGTTTCCCTCAATACCGCTAAAGTATCTGAGGATACCTTTAGGGTATCCAAATCGGCATTCTCGAAAACCAACGGGTTTTTGAGCATCCGAAAACCAAGAGGATACCACCCCATGTAAAAAAAATATGTAAAAAAATCAATTTTAATAATCAAAAAATCGATTAAAAATCGATTTTAATCATACACCTTTAATCAATAGTTTAAGCAGTAATAATCAAAACAAAATCAGATGATAATCGATTATTTCAAATATGATGATTATAATCGATTTGATAAATTTAGAAAATGGATTATAATCAACATATTTGAAATAATCGATTATCATCTGATTTTGTTTTGATTATTACTGCTTAAACTATTGATTAAAGGTGTATGATTAAAATCGATTTTTTGATTATTTTTTTTTACATGGGACGGAAACCC